TTTACTTATTAAGGTGAAACAAATGTGCGTAGAGTTTTAAAGGATGCGGATAGTCTCACCTTGATTCTGGCGCATTGCTTATCGTTTTATAGATCTATTCTCATCCACCATCTTTGTTTGTGACGTAAAGAGTGTAACGGCCCGTCCACACAGCGGCGTGCGTGTCTGACACTCGACCAACAACCAATCACATGAATCTTCCGCCCCTGACACACAAGCAGCGGTTTGATTGGCTAGAGCTTGTACTGGCATATGATTCGATTGGCTGATGCTTCTGCCGAGGCGTCAAAAGTTGAGCATTGCTCAACTTTTGCAGCGAGCCACGCCAGCAACGCTCCGCGTCGCTTCCCACGATGCAGTTCGGCTAAAAGTCACCCCATTCAAAGTGAATGGGCAGAAGCGTTGGAAGCTTCAACGCACGCCGCTGTGTGGATGGGCCGTAAGAGTCACGTTTCTGAATCGGACACTCTGAGTGGATGCAGTCACAGCCAATCGGAGTCTGATTCAGAGGGTTGCCTGTCAGTTCTGTTGTTATGTGTACTGAAACGAGAGCCGGTATAAAAGTAGACTGAGTTATGAAGGGTTAACGTTACATCTTAGGATAATTTTTAGTCATGTTCTGTATACATACTAACATATAAGGGTATACTTAGTGTGGTTACTCCATGTTTACTAGCTATAACATTAACGTTACATCACTCTTTTTCACTTCTTACTCAGTCAGCCAGAGTGCAGATATCACCATTAGATTAACAAACCTGAAACATCATCCATTTCTTGACTGCTGGTGATGACATTGTTGTCAGCTGCTGATACTGCTGTTGCTGATACTGCTGCTGCCGCAGCTTGTGGCCTGCTTCAATGACAATAACTTTCTAATATCCATAACTGTATAGGCTATTAGCTTAAAACTCGTCAGGCACTAGGAAGGATGACTTCTTCTTCAGGGCAGGCTACGCAGTACGCAGGCTAATGTCCCACAGTGACTGCCTCTCTGGTGGACTCCGGTACTGCACATTACTCCCGAGACGTTTTCAAAAAAAAAAATTTAATTTAATTTTTTTAAGTGAAACATCCGGGGCTTTTCAGAAAACATCCGGGGCTTGAGCCCAAGTAGCCACCCCTTAGCGCCGCCACTGATGGGCTGTATGATATACATCTTGTACTGTAAATGTTGTATTAAATAAAGTTAATATTACCGACGTAGATTAACGTTCCTGTAGCTTCTTATTGCACTTGCAATTGTTTTAGTTACTTGTGGGCTACTTAACATGAATAATCACAGTTACTATCCTTTTACTCCATCACATTTCAAAAAGAAATAGGCTATTGTTATTTTAACTCCACCACAGTAATCCATCATCAGCTTAACTTTTTAGATAACGTTTTAACTCACAATTGATCATAACAGGCTTCAACATATACATTTGTATACATTACCAAGTGGTTTCATGTACAACCCACACAAGTATCATGCTAAATGAAGCTCTGTTGCTTGGATATCACTAGATCCTGATGTCAGCGTAATATAAAAGTACATAACGATTGATATGCAATTTAGCATAATTGACTAGCTAGCCGCTAGCTGCTAACTGCCGCCTCGTTAATATAAATCCAGTACCATGCTGTCATGAACGCGCGGTGCTGTTACGTGTACGCAAATTCACGTGCTTAATGTGAACGAGCCTTTTGGGCGGCGTGGTTAAAGTTGCGCATGCTCTATGAGTGCACATACGGGTACTTCTCAGGCATGCCGGGTAATCCGTGACGTTTTGCTCTCTCAAAAGTTGGGCCATTTTGTCATCATGCGCCATTGAGCAACTATCAATGAATGAGGCCCGGACTCCCACGCTGTATCCAGTTCTTATTATACATCCATGGTTTTTGGCCGTTGTTCAGCGTTTGCACCTGCCGGCCACTGTACCAAGAGGCGCATTCACACCGCAGTACTTTTCCCACAAAGGTTCATGAGAACTTAGTTCATGAGAACTCTTTTGTCGCGTTCACACCAAAAAGAGCCGGTACTAAAATTAGTTCATGAGAACCTTTTTACCCCCACGAAAGTCCCTGCTAGAGAGCAGGGACTTTCGTGCGGCTCTCTTGTGAGAAAAGAGCTATATTTCTGATTGGCTGGGCGGATTGCAAACCACGCACCGTAAAACTCCCAAAAAGTTTTGTGAAGCCGCCATTTTATTATCCTCGCATTAGCATTAGCCCAGCGCAGAAACGCAGAGAGACTAATTTATGGCAACACAAAATAAAACATGGGAGCGGTGGAGATGAGGAGGTGTCGGCGTTCTGGCGATTTACTCGGAAGGCTTCAGTAGAAGCTGCTGGGACTCCCAGCAGCTTCTACTGAAGCCAGTCCCCAACTCCGGGGACTTCCGGCCGGGGACTTTGGGCGGCAGTATACGCCGTGAAGTGGTTTGCGGCCTGCCAGTAAACCCAAAGCAGAAGAAGAAGAAGTGACGTCAGCGGCTTCATTTGCCTAATCCTCCCCCAGGGACTTATTCCGGTTTGATTGATTGATTGATTGAAAAGTTTATTAACAGCTTGTATATTGGGTACAGTACAGTACAGCTCAAAACATACAATTGTTAAGGGGATGCAGACCAGAGAAATACTTTCGTCTTGTTTACATCAGGGTCCCCCATTTCCAATTCATCATGTCATTTAAGACATATAAGACATATTTGACATACAGATGGCTTATTTACAATTTACATACAGGTGTTTTTTTTTACATACAGATTGCTTGTTTACAATTTTCATTTTAGATTTCGTTCTAATACATCCTAACCGGACATTTAAGACATACCAAGTCTACAGATATACAGTTAGTAACAGAGTCTAAAATGCGAGTATATACATAGATGGGGGGGGGGGGAAGCTGTCCATTCAACGACAGGTTGAGATTTGTACCATTACCGGGGCCAGTTTTGCAATGCTCTCCCCCGAAGGTGCTCTTTAAGAGAGGTTTTGAAGGTAAGTATAGTTTTATTTTCCTTTACAGTTGTGGGAAGAGCGTTCCACCTTGATGTGGCATAATTGCGAAATGTGTATTCCCCCTTTTTTGTGCCAAATCTGGGTTTCACATGATTTGTGGAGCTCCCTCTGGTGTTATGATCATGGTATTCCTTGACCTTTGGGAAGAATTTTGACATGTACATGGGTACCATAGAGGTGTAGTGGATCTTGTAGACCAGGCCCATTGCAAGTAGCTGTACTCTGTCGTCTACTCTAAGCCATCCTAGGTTGTCAAAGTGGGCAGAGGTGAGGTGGGTTCTAGATGAAAGGTCAAGCAGTAGTCTGACCAGTTTATTTTGCGATGTTTGAAGTTTTATTTTTAGCGCCTTGGAGGTGCTATGGTACCATGACGTGCAAGCATAGTCATTATTACATTACATTACATTGCATTTAGCTGACGCTTTTATCCAAAGCGACTTACAATAAGTGCGTTCGTCCAACAAAATACAACTTGAAGAAAACAGAATCATAAAAGTACATCAGGTTTCATAGAGCAAAAACATTTCAAGTGCTACTCAACTGGCTTTAGAAAAGCCAGTCCTTTATTAGTATAAAAGTGCTTCGTTAATAGTTCTATCGCTCGAAGTGGAGTCGAAAGAGATGAGTTTTCAGTTTGCGCCGGAAGATGTGTAAGCTATCTGCCGTCCTGATGTCAATGGGGAGCTCATTCCACCATCCTGGAGCCAGGACAGCAAACCCACGTGTTTTCGCCGTTGGGAACTTGGGTCCCCCTCGCAGCGAGGGCGCAGCGAGTCGTTTGGCTGATGCAGAGCGTAGTGCACGCGCTGGGGTGTACGGTTTAACCATGTCCTGGATGTACGAAGGGCCAGATCCATTCGCAGCATGGTAAGCAAGTACCAGTGTCTTGAAGTGGATTCTAGCAGTTACCGGAAGCCAGTGAAGCGAGCGTAGGAGCGGAGTAGTGTGGGAAAATTTAGGAAGGTTGAAGACCAGACGAGCCGCTGCATTCTGGATGAGCTGCAGAGGTCGGATGGCACATGCAGGTAGACCAGCCAGGAGGGAGTTGCAGTAGTCTAGGCGTGAGATGACGAGAGCCTGGACCAGAACCTGAGTCGCTTTCTGTGTCAGCTGGGGACGTATCTTCCTGATGTTGTAAAGCGTGTATCTGCAGCAACGGGTTGTAGCAGCGATGTTTGCAGTGAAGGACAGGTTGTTATCTAGGGTCACACCCAGATTCCTTGCAGTCTGAGTCGGGGAAACAACTGAGGTGCCGATGTTGATTGTTAGGTCAACAGTGCCCTTGAATGAGTGCTCCTGCCAGAGTTTTCAGGGTGTTTTTTTTTTACCAGAGAGGAGATCCGGTATAGGAATCTAGTTCTTTGATTGACTTTTTTTATTACATTGGATGCCATTTTGTCACAGGAGAGGTTTGCCTCAAGAATAGATCCTAGGTATGTAATTTCCTTCTTACTTGTGACAATAATGTCGCCCACTGCAACTGAGAAGTCGTCGGATTTGCTGAGATTATGTTTCGAACCGAAGAGAATGGACTCTGTTTTACCCAGGTGTAATGATAATTTATTATCGGCGAGCCAGGTGCGGATTCTGCCGAGCTCGGAGCTGAGGGTTTTTTCAACCTGCAACCTGTTCCTGCCAGAGACCAGCAGGGCTGAGTCGTCCGCAAACAGGAACAAGTTGCAGTCACATGCTGATGACATGTCATTTACATAAATTAGGAACAGTAACGGACCTAATATGCTTCCTTGTGGAACACCACAGCTCACTGGGAGGGGGGGGCAGAGTACCATTTACCTCCACCATCTGTTCTCTCCCCTCCAGGTAGGATTGCATCCAGCTCACCGATAGTTTATCAAAACCAATTGCTTTTAGCTTGTCAATCAGAATGGGGTGATTGACAGTGTCGAAAGCCTTTTGTAGGTCCAGCATCACCATGTCGGTGTGAACGCGATCTGTACTTAGTTCATGAGAACTAAAAAGTTCTCATGAACTAAGTTCTCATGAACCTTTGTGGGAAAAGTACTGCGGTGTGAATGCGCCTAAGGAGACATATGACGTATTGCTTATTTGGATATTTAAATATTTCCCTGCATCACAGCACAGGATACTTCAGCACAGGATACTTCTCAAAGAGGTGAGCAGACATTTGGACCCATTGTGATTCCAAGTTTGTTTTTACATGTGAGTATATCTTCTATTTGACATATTATTATGATTATTTTTATCAGTAGTATATGTCATTATGGCATTTTATATCTATATCAATTTTGAAAATGTTTGCTACCGACTATTTTATAAATATTGTAACGTAATAATTCAAACGTACTCAACATTTAACAAATGTTACTCTTACTATTTATTTTGCTGTCATTTGTTGTTGTTTTCAGTGAAATCAGAAATGGATGCTAAAGTGCTTTTGATTTTCGTCATTTTTGGTAAGACTTACACTATCTTTCTATAATTTCATGGTGACAGTTTATGGTTTCCAGTTAATATGCACAATAGAACAGGTTATTGTTTTCCATTGAATTCAAAAGCTAAGAAATATAGGCCTGTGAAAGGATTATTCACAATGGCATGTGAAGTCGTAGTAAAGTCGGTAACGTAAAAATAATTTCAAAAAATTTGAAAATGTTACCCTGTAAAATTAAAACCCCTTTTCAAGTAATTTAGATCAACAGTTCCAAACATGATTTCTGATCATTCACAGCCAAATGTTCCCTCTGTCACAAAACCTCAGGATTTGGTCCCGTGCCCTCACACTCTCAGGCCCCTCTTGTTATTCGTGAGTACCACTATGTCAACCTGTTGATGAACTGGACCAGCGCTCAGCACTACTGCAGAGAGAAATACTCCGACCTGGCAACCTTTGAAAGCATGGATGACATTCGTAAGGTATACAGACCTAGTCAGCACCAGTATGCTTGGATTGGACTGTCTGATGATCCACAATCTTGGAAGGGAATTATGGGTAATGATGCAAACTCCTGGAGATGGTCTTCAACAGGTGAAACAAGCCAAACTGGCTACCAAAACTGGCAAACAGGTCAGCCAAATCATTATCACCCCCCCCCGGGCCTGTGTGTATGGGAACGCTGAAGGAAAATGGATTGATGACGCCTGTCACAAGGAATTGTATTTTGTTTGTTACGACGGTAAGAAACAAATAAGTTTGGACTCTCAGAACTAGAGGGAAGAACTTAAAGTTGTCAGACTGTTTGATCAGAACTTTCCTATATAGAGTGATGCAGGAATTATCTGGAAGTTAGCATTGGTACTTGGGGAAAAAGGACTTCTGTGGTGTACAATCATTTATATTTTTGTTCAGGAAGATCATTTCTACACCACTTTATGACTTTTGAAACATACATTCAACACATAGAAGTGAATAGCTACTGTAACTGAGGCTACATTACTGTTATTTAGAAACTTGTTGCAACAGCCATTTTTATGACACATTCAAAGTAGGCTAATTACTGACTATAATATGTCGAAAAACCAAACATTAAAATCTCCTAAGCTTTTGTTAACCACATACCTTATAAAAAAGAAAAAACTTGAAACAATAACAACTAACTTTTTTTTCTATTGTAGATACACTTCCTCCAGGCGAGAAAACATATACTTTATATGACACCCAAGCTCGTGCATGGGAGGATGCCCAGACCTACTGCAGAGCACACCACACAGACCTGGCTATGATTGAGAACGCTCAAGAAAACACAGATATGTTGTCAATTACGTCAGAACATTCTGTGTGGATTGGCTTGTACAGAGTGCTTTGGAGGTGGTCGGACAACAGCAACAGCTCCTTTAGAAACTGGAACAAAGGTCAACCAAATAACTATTTTGGTAACCAGTACTGTGGAGCTGACGACCAAGGCCAAACGTGGCACGATGTTGAGTGTTACACGGAGCGTCCCTTCTGGTGCCAAGGTGAAAAACGTAATACATCTCAGAAATACTAAATCTGTCTGTTTTTTCTTGCAATGCAAACATATTTGGTGTTTGTTTGACTGTTCAGTTGTAGGGGTGAAGATCACGGTGTTGAGGGTGAAGATTCAGACTGATGCTGACCTTTCAGATCCAGCTACTAATCAACAAATCCTACAGCAGGTAAAGCTCCCACCCATATTCTCGTTCTCTTATCTCTTGTGAAAAAAAGAGTGTGATCAAACTTCAGACATAGATTAGGTCTAATGATGAATTGAACATGCTTCAAAACTTCAAGACTGGACTATGAGACCTGAGCATCAGACCTCAGAATTAATACCGTAGGTATCAGAAGTTCCCGAGATCAGGTATCAGAAGAAAACAAAAAGTCCAATTGGACGGAAAGCTCAACAGGGAAAACGAGTGCCAGTTGTCCTGAATACACATTCCCCTGCATCAATCAGAAGCACCTGGCTTATTATTAAGCAGAATTAAGTCATAAGATCTTCCCAATATTTTGGTGGATTGGTAGGTACTTGTTGCCTGGGCAGGTTGGTTTGGTCAGGATAAGGTATCAGGGGTAAGAATAGTTAGGGTTAGTGAAAGGGCAAGCCATTCAGAGGCAGATTAGGGCAGTATTTGTTTTTGTTGCAGTAGGAAAAACATTTTAATGGTCCAATGAGGTAGTTCTGCTTAATAATTGGCCATGTGCTTCAGGTTGTTGCATGGAGTGAGTGTGTTTCCAGAGCAATGGGCCGTTGGAATTTTGGGCATTTGTCGGACAAATGGACTTTTGGCCCAATGTGATATTTTTGGACTATTTAGGTTTTGGAATAGTGGACCCTCGGAACAATGGCTTGGCACCCAAAAATATACTATGTTAACAAAAAGGATAAGAGTCAATACAAATTAGTCTGCTAGTGTTCGATTTGACAATGATTTACTATAACTTTTATTTTTCAGCTACGTGAAATTCTCAGGGACAAGATACCGGCTGACTTTACCCTGCGCTGGAAGAGTCAACCGGTGAAATCAGGGGAAGATACGGATTAAGTAAATTGATAATTTGGTCTTTTTAATTGATTGATTGATTGATTGATTGATGGGTTGGTGTTTATCAGACGTTGCCAATGGTAGAATGCCTGTAGCCATAATGATGTATGTAGATTATTTTGTTAACCAATAGATCAATTACTCAAATCAAAGCATTTTGTAATCTTCAATCACAGTGCACTCTGCATACCAAACTCAATATATAGCTAAATGTTGAGCAGAGAAAATGACAAAATACCAGAATACATGGCAATCTTGTGAAATATTTTATGAATGTACATGCAACATCTTGCACATTTTGAGAGTAACTTCACACTGTTGAAAAGCAATGTTTGGTTGGAAGCCGGTTTCTGTTTCAGATAAATTAAGAAAATATTGTCAGGAGTGTTGAGTTACTCTTTAAACTCATGGCTCAACTAAACAGATGTCTTGTTATGTGAACAGTAATGCCATTCTTCACATCCGGCTTGAGCACTTAGATAAATAACACTTACATTGTCCATTTTATTGCTTAGTCTTTGATGTCAGAGTGATCTTAATGTAGCTGCAATATCCACTTTAAACTCTGTTTATTTATACTGGTATTTACTGTGTTCTTAATCAATTTTATTTGACTTTTCAGGTAGTATATTCTCGAATATAACATTACTTACATTAGCTGTCTTTTGTGACTGTCTGTTGTGTACTTAATTAGGTAATTTGTGCTTTTTCTTGTCAGTTGCCAAACAAGGTGACCTTATGATGAATTCATAATTTGCATAATCAAATAAATAATTAAAGGCAAAGGTGAGTTTGTCCAACTTTGTGCAATTTACGGAGATGAATGCTGTGTTTCTTCTAATAATGACCCAGTGATTAGCTAAATTTCCAACAATGCTTTTGAAAACCCTAGAGGCATATTTAAATGCAATATAGCCAGTTTTTCTTTGATTAATATCCAGCCACCAAAGCTTCACTTCAATGTCGTGCTGTGTCCTAAAAACGCAAATTAAACATTTGCAAATCGGAAAGCCTTGACGACCCTTCATGGAAAACATTGCAAATGATCAGCACTCTCTTTTGCATTGTATCAAGATTTACTTTTTAAGAAAAATAGCTTTGTCACAGCTTTTATTTAAACATTTGTTTGCGAAAGTTGGTATAACATCCAAAATGTTTCTTTACTTGTTCACCAGTACACTATTTGTTTTGTCAAGCAGATGTTTTCTGGCTTTACCTCAGTGTGGATGTAATGTTTGTGTCTACAGTAAGCATGTATTAATCAACAAGCATAATTGAGTGTGTTGATTAATCCATTATACTGTAGGTAAAAAAATGAATTAAGGATTAATCAGTTTTTACATTTTAATTCAAGCCAATGTCACTGGTTAGGCAAGTCAGAAATGAGTTACATATTAGCTAAGGCCAGAGAATGTAACTACCAACAATCTTATTAACCCCAGGAGAGTCAAATAAAAAAAATCATAGTAACCATTCATCAATCAGCAAGAGTTGTCTTGATTTTCAGTTGTTTAATAGGCCAGATGACATCCTTTAGAACACTTCAAAGAGGAGTTTGACTTACTGAGTCATTTTAAACCTGTTCAGTCCCAATGCTGTTTGTGTGTCAGTGAAAATAAAGAGATATATTGCACTAGTAAATAACCCCTCCATATATGCCAGGCTCCAAGTGAAGGTTTACAACTGGTTGTAAAGAATCAAAAGGATGGCTGTTAGGTAGTAGGTCTTTCTGTTCCTTCTCACCATTTGGTGCAACGCCATATTTAGACAAAATGCTGGGAAATGCACAAAAAGGGGGAACAGCTGAAAAGGATTTTACAGCTTTAACAAACCCAAGATGTGGTTTGTGATTGTGGGGTTTTGTGTTTTTGACTGCACATCAGAACGGAAACTTCAAAAATAACAATGATACTATAAAGTGAACATTTCTTAATGTTTTTGAGTTAGGGTAATATTTGTATTATAGTACATTTTATTACATTATACTGAATCAATTGCTATAAAATCTTCTAAAAATGCAGAAGAAGGTTTGTTCCAATATCTTCACAACTAAAGTATAATTAGTACGCAACTTGGTACAGGCATTTATGGTCCTTGTTGGATAAACCCTTGTGACTTTTGACATGTCATGAATGACAACTGAATAGCTATTAATCATAAGAGCGTATATGGTATACAGGGCTGTCAATCGAATCCAATCTGTATTTCTATTGCACATTTAAAAACAACAGAGTTGACAAAAGTGCTGTACATCAATTAATATATTAAAACAGCATAAACACATTTAGAAAAAACTGACAGGAAATTTAAAAAATTGAAACAATAAAACCTTAAAGCCACAGACTGAAAACTCTCATACATGACGTAAAAACAATACAAAAAAGAAGTAAATAAAACCCCAATTTCAGTCAGACTTAATACATCTCTCAAATCTGCCACTTCTGCTGCTAATCCAAATGAAGTTTGGTAATAATAATCAAGAGGTACTTTTGGTACAACCCATCATTACACCTTATTAATTGTCAGGACGTAGCATTGTCATTGTGAGCACATCAGCTTTCTGACATGAGCAGCACTTCAAAGCAAAACTCTGCCCAAGCACAGCCTCACATCCTAATCCTCAATCCTGACCTTCAGTCACAAACAATTATTGATGAATGGCTGAATATATGAACATTTACCAAAAAATGCAAACAAGTGACAGAGTGAACCCTCAAAAGAACAATCAAGATAGAGAGCCAGCAACAGCAACAACATGTAAGCGATTCTAAATGGGACCGAGGGAAGAGGAGGAGGATGAGGAGCCGGGGGAGAATGGATGAAGGAGGAGAAAGGAGGGCAGGGGAAGACTGAGCTGGGAGGGAGGTCCAGCAGCAGGCTGCAGGAATGTTTCACATGCCTGTCCTCTGGATGACCTCGCCTCCCTGGAGTGTGGGAGATACTGGGAGTAATTAGCCTCCTTTAACATTGGATCTGTGCTGCCTCCATGCCTCAATGGGGTTAGCAGTGGCATTGAAAGAGATCAAGTGTATTTATATTTTCTAACAAAATAGCTTTCTTCTTTTGCACCACCCGGCTCCAACACTCGGTCTCGTTTTAATTCATACTTTTTAAACAATGCATGAAATTATTCTGTGTTTTTCTGTCTTGTTTAAGATTTTTAGGGCAGGGAAGTTGTTTTCAGTCATTTTCAGTTGATGAATGCGGTAAATTAGGTCTATTATTTGTAAGTGGAACAGATTTCCTTCCCCCCACCCACCAACCCATCTTGCAGCTGACCTACTTTATCTCCCAGTAGATTTAATCATGGATCCTCCAAGCTGCAAATATTTCTCACTTAAAGTCAAGGATCAGGAATGGAAGTGGACGTAAATGAAGAGAAACGGAGCCTAAAAAGTATTGATTTTGTAAAAGGCCACATGGTTTCAATCATGACATGCCAATACTGGAACATCAGTGTTAATCTGCTTTGCTTTGATGCCCTTTATTTAAAACAGACAAGCGTCCCTTTATGGCAAAACATGAATCCAGAGCTAAAAGCCTGAATGTTCTCCACTGTAATTATACTACTTACTGCATTTGGGTGATATTGAGGGAGCGAGAAAGAGCGAGAAAGAGTAGGCTACTTCAGAAAGAGTAGGCTACTTCATTTATTGTTCAATATTTTTCAACATTTTGTACATATATATTTTTACAGAGTAATTTGTAAATATCAAATAATACTCATCTGAAATGTAAACTGAAGAGGGATGATATCATCTCATGCATTTAAGGCGTATACATCCAACAGCTCATAAACTACGTTGGAAAAATATCCCTTCCTTTCTAATCTTTACAACATTTACATTTCTCAGAAACTCAGAAGAAAACCACTCTTGAGGTTGAAAGTAGCATACATTATTGTATCATAGGAAAGATAAGAAATATGTATACTTTATGATATGCTCAATATGTAGATGTGCATGTCATAATTTATCTGAAAGCATCAGAAATCATCGTTGATGTTAAGCATAGACCAGCTGTTAATAATTTAACACTAACAATAAATGATTTAGAGCATTTTATGGAAATGGTTGTTTAAGATTTTCAATTTCACTGAAAAAAAAGTTCATTAGATAAAACATGTACAAATATTTTTAAAAAAACTTAAGAGAGAAACACATACCTTATTGTTCTTAAAATATCGTGCAGAACAGTTTGACAGTTGTATTACGTTTTGGGTGTTTAAAGGCTTGGAAGTGTTAATTATAGTCTATAGATTTACATACAAATCCAGTGAAATGGGGGCTTGAATTGACATTTAGGCCTACTATATCCAGTACGTTAACACTGAATTCAATTATATAAATAAGATATTCAAAACGTGGGGTAAATACATTTCTACACTCAATTTTGATATTGTGGTTAGTTATAAACACTATTTCAATGTTTGCTACTGGCATAACACACCGAATTTTTAACCGTCGACAGTCATGTTGCATTCTGGGTAATGTAGTCGCCACATTTTCTACAACAAAGACTACATCGAACAAAAATATGATATTTCTGTTTCTTCTGCATAAAATGTGATATTAACGTGCATCTCTGATGGAGGTAAGATCCTACTACAGTAGTGATACTTTTACTTGAGTACAGGACTTCAAAGTACTAGTTTCCAGCCGCCTGGTGATGTCAGACAGCGGCTGGGTCATTTGAAGGTCAGCAGCAGCGGAGGAGGTTCATGGAGAGTTCACTCGCATACATTAGGTAACACCATCGCTCGCTCTGACATAACTAGTATGAAGCAGGTTGAGTTGAGACATTCGTCAATAAAGAAAAAGAGATAAGAGGAAAGAAGTCCCGGGACTAACTTTGTTATGCTAAACAGCCGCCAGATCTGGATGCGTTCTCCGGTGCAACATGCAAACACTTTCTGGCCGTGTGTGGGAAATATAGGTCTTGTTTCTGAGCGCTCACACGCCCCTTTGAATGCAACACAGGCATGTTTTACTCTTAAAACAACGTTTGCATCGAACTCCAAATAGGAAAGGAAAAAGCCCGCGCTGCTGTTTAGGATTGCACATGCGGACAACATTTCCACGCAGATCGTCGAGGAGACTGAAACCAGACCATGTTTGACTATGTGGAATTTCAAGCTTTCGGTCCCGGAGAAATCATGGACTTGTACACCTCCTCCACCCCCAGCCCTGCATCGTGCATGCTGCAGGAGCAGGAGCCGGATTTGGCAGCCTTCTTCCCGGAGCTGATCGAGGCGGACTGGCAGCAGCACCGGTGCTCCCAATGTAGGTGAAAACTGATGTCAACATTTAAAACCGCGATGTGTTGCTGAATATATGGCCTCTTAAAATATCATGTTACCATGTCCCATTTTTTTTGCAATGTTGACCAAAATCTGTTTTCATATATTTGGGTTTGGGTTCACAGGAGGGTTTGCACAATGTGTGCTTGCCTATATTTTGAGCCCTCAAAAATGCTATTATAGTGCTATTATTTTTGCCACACATACATACATTTACTCTTTATAAGACTTCATCTAATAACTAAATATTTGTCCTGCATCTATTCATTTTCGACTGAATATTCAAGTGATTATGTGACTGTGGTCTGTTATTTACATTAAAGGTCAGTTGTTAAGATAAGATAAAATAAGATGGACATTTCATTTATCCTGGGGGAACATATTCTGCAGTAGTTGCAG